AACGTCTTAAATAAAACCATGTTTGATCAATTTAGATGTTTAAAACATGTTTTAAACATGTGTTTAAAACAAAATGTTTACTCAACTCTGTATTAGAGTGATGAAGGCAATTATTTTACTTTAATATGTGATGTTTTTTTTTGTGTGTATATCTATATATACATGATAAATATTTAAAAAGAAAGAATACTTCGATTTTCCACTCCAGTATCTTTTATAGCAGCAAAATCCTAAATACGCCACTACATTTACCTGTAGGAATTGTGTTTTTTTCAAAATAATCAACTAAAGTAAACAACTTAACAATTTACACTTTATTTTCACAAACAATAGTATTTAAATAATATTCAACTGAAACTTAAGAGCTACCACTCTGATGAAACAATATGTCTGATAGATAATGCCTGATTGTACGGTTTGTATACCTTTGATGCATTTGTTCGAACAAATTTCTTTTTCTGTTCACATTAGGATAAATCTAAAAGAACATATTAAATAATTATTATATTATATTTTACATAATAAAATATGGCTGTAGGTAGTGACAATGGCATAAATATTTTAAAAACATTTTAGACATATCATTACACTATTTCGTAGTTTTTTATTTTAAGTTTAGTACCTAAGTATGAAATGTTCAATTACAACAAGCTATGATGATGTTTTTAAAAGTTGATTAAATAGTTAGGTACCTTAACTTACTCAATATAATAAATAAAAACAAACATACCTACCTACTTGTAAATAATACATTAGATCCAAGTAGAGTTGTGAATTTAATGATTCAATGATTTATTTAATGATTATATACAACGATCAATGTTATGTATGAATTAAAAAAAGGTGAAAACACCTAAACCTTCCGATTTTTTCTTGTTAGCTTTAACACTGACGTCAACTCCTAGAAAAAAGAAATTGTAAATGGAAAAAATATTTTATATAACCCTTTAAAATTATACAAACTACAAAGTTGTGCCAATATATATGTTATGCGCTAAAAGAACATTTTGGAAAAAAATTGTATACCTTTATGTGTGTGTGATTTTTTTTCTAGAGTTAGGTCTTGATTTTTTGGTTTGTCGACAAAATCTTGTTTTTGCTTCTTTGCAATTACTTCGTTAACACCTAAACCTTCCGACTTTCTCTTGTCGGATTTAATCATGACGTCAACTCCTAGAAAAAAGAAATTACAAATGAAAAAAGTATTTTAAATAACCCTTTAAAATTATACAAATTACAAAGTTGTGCCAATATATATGTTATGAGCTAAAAGAAAATTTTGGAAAAAATTGTATACCTCTAAGTGTGTGTGAATTTTTTTCTAGAGTTCGGTCTTGATTTTCTAAATTGTCGACAAGATCTTTTTTTTGCTTCTTTACAAATACTTCGTCAACACCTAAACCTTCTGACTTTCTCTTGTCAGATTTAACCCTGTCGTCAACTCCTAGAAAAAAGAAATAACAAATGAAAAAAGTATTTTAAATAACCCTTTAAAATTATACAAACTACAAAATTGTGTCAAGATATATATTATTTCCAGTTCATATAATTATCATTAAATCAATATAAATTATATACCTACCTATTTTAATATGTATACGATATAATATTATGTAAATATTATTTATCTATTGACTATTATTGATTACAACATAACTTATTATACTATTACAAAATATACTTTGTCATGGTTCCACCTAGGTACCTACTTACCATACAGTTGCACAAAATCTCAGGAGCAAGGGGAGAACTTTTTGTCCCCTTCCCTCCACTAATTTGGTGCTAGGTAGAAGGTTTTTTTATGTGGCAATGTGGGTTTTTATGGTGTATCCTAGAAGCTGGTAGAGGTGTATATGTTAAGCCAAATTTGTGAAATTGCTGATTTCATGAAATCGGCAGAAAAATTGCCGATTACATGGAATCAGCATCGTTGTTGCAGAAAACGTGAAATGCTGAAATCGGCAATTTTTCTGCCGATTTCATGAATTCGGTATCACATTATTACAAACATAATTTATTACGAATAGTGATAGATATATAAATAACCAATATTTATCTTTATTATCACATCATTATCTTTATTACCTATGATGGTAGACGCTACTGATGGTTAGGTCCCCACTGGCGTACGGCGTGGCTTTATCTTACTTACTAAGGCATATTTATTGCTTTGATAAAATAATGTGACAAATATTTAATACCTACATGTTCAGCGTTCAGTTATTCGTTTCGCCTGCTGAAATAGTTAGCAGTGCTAACCTGCCGTACTAACCTGCCTAGTACTGTTAACCTGCCGTACTAATTGCACATCAAAAAAGTGCACATGTAGGAAAAATGACATGATGTGTAATTCGGCGTGCCACCCAGGCAGTAGTTGTCAAAATTTATAAATGTAAATATTTACTTCCACTTAATTAAAATAAATAAAAAATAATAATATACATATAAATAAAAACTAAGTATATTTTTATAACTTTATTTTTATTATTACAATCAGATTTAATTCATCTCCAGCATTGTATGTAAGATCATGAGTACAACACAATAATTTATAATATTTTAAGAATTGGCTCGCCTATTTCATGAAATCGGCAGAAAAATTGCCGATTTCACGTTTTCTGCAACAACGATGCTGATTCCATGTAATCGGCAATTTTTCTGCCGATTTCATGAAATCAGCAATTTCACAAATTCGGCGTAACATATACACCTCTACCAGCTTCTAGGATACACCATAAAAACCCACATTGCCACATAAAAAAACCTTCTACCTAGCACCAAATTAGTGGAGGGAAGGGGACAAAAAGTTCTCCCCTTGCTCCTGAGATTTTGTGCAACTGTATGGTAAGTAGGTACCTAGGTGGAACCATGACAAAGTATATTTTGTAATAGTATAATAAGTTATGTTGTAATCAATAATAGTCAATAGATAAATAATATTTACATAATATTATATCGTATACATATTAAAATAGGTAGGTATTATATAATTTATATTGATTTAATGATAATTATATGAACTGGAAATAATATATATCTTGACACAATTTTGTAGTTTGTATAATTTTAAAGGGTTATTTAAAATACTTTTTTCATTTGTAATTTCTTTTTTCTAGGAGTTGACGTCATGGTTAAATCTGACAAGAGAAAGTCGGAAGGTTTAGGTGTTGACGAAGTATTTGCAAAGAAGCAAAAAAAAGATCTTGTCGACAATTCAAAAAATCAAGACCGAACTCTAGAAAAAAATTCACACACACTTAAAGGTATACAATTTTTTCCCCGGTTTATCCAACTGTTATCACATATAATTAAACACGTATTATATATACTTTCTATACCAGAACTTGAAGACTGGATATGCTGAGCTCTTTTCGAATCAAAAACAACTCTCTGGGTTGTTTGTTTTACTTCGCGTGGCTTTACACTCCAGGTACTCTAAAAATGAATAATAATTTTTCATCGAAAACTATATATAGATTGTACTGTACTGTATTGTGCGTGGCGTAATGAACCACATGAATTACATTGGTATACACTTTATATTTATAATATTAAAATATTATAATAATATATGGGTACATACTCCATCCTTCTTTAAAACCAGCTTTTTTATTTGATTTGTCTGTGGCTTTTGCGCCACCACATCAGGCTTAGTGATTACGGGGACGTCTGCCACATGGCGTTTAATTCCGTCAGAAGTAGATTTTCTACTTTCAAATGCGGTTACACGCGAGACAGTCTAAAAATCAATAATCATTTTTCATCGAAAACTATATATAAATTGTACTGTACTGTATTGTTAGTTGGGTAATGAACCGTATGATTTACATTGGTATACTTTATATTTATAATATTATAATAATATATAAAGTACATACTCCATCCTATAATTAAAATTATAATAATATAAAAATATATTATCGTATCCCGCATTTTCACCAATGATATTTTGTTTTTACGTATTATTATTAATTAATATTTACATTACTGCTTTGTCAATCGTGATCGTCTACCTGTATATTTTATCTACAACTTACAAGTAATATTAATTATATAACTTTTAAAAAT